TCCTCCTCCTCCTCCTCCTCCTCCTCCTCCTCCTCCTCCTCCTCTCCTCCTCCTTCTCTTCCTCTCCTCCTCCTCCTCCTCTCCTCCTCCTCCTCCTCCTCCTCCTCGTCCTCCTCCTCCTCCTCCTCCTCCTCCTCCTCCTCCTCCTCCTCTCCTCCTCCGCCTCCCCCTCCTCTGCCTCGCACGAAAGTTCCACTATTCCTGCCCTGTCGGTCCTCCTGCCCCCCCCCCGCGCCCCGCCTAACTACCTCCCTCCAGACCCATCACTCCCTCTCACCCTCCTGCGCCCGCCCTTTCCCGCCCTCACCCCACTCCTCCCCAAACGGTTTTGTGGCGTTTCCCATATGAGGAGGCCCCTCACACTGAAGTGTGGCCCCGATCGCATAACATCCACACGCAGGGAGCATTCGAGCCGCATCGAGGAGGGCTTCTTCCTAAGTAGAGTCCGGGATATTGTTTGGCAATCGTTCCGAATCCGAATCCGAATCCTCCCCCGCCATTCTCTCCTACCCGCTGCGTCCTCCTCCGCCTTTAGAGTCCGCCAGCGTGCCTCGGAGCACGAAGTGGGCGTGTCATCAGGTCCTTTCCCTCGTCCCCTAGGCCTCAACCATCACTCCTCATGCGTCTTTAAGGGACCCGGACCCTAAATTCCGAAGTCTCCCCGGGATCCCCACGTGCCCCCTGGGCCCAGTGAAGTGTTCTCGCATGACTTGCTCGGGCCCAAGAAGACCCCAAGACGGGCCAACAGGGCCCCGAGTCGCCGAACGATCGCTCCAAGACGCTCAAGATGGCCCCCAGACGGCCCAGGCAGCCTCCAAGACGCCCGAAGAGACCTCCAAGAGGCCTCCAAAGACGGCCCCAAGAGGCCACAATCACTGATTTTCCGCAGGTTCTTGAAGGATCTTGGCGTTCTCGCCTTTTCGGCTTCCCGACGCTCCCAGACGGCCCTAAACGCCCCCAAGACCTTGGTTTTGGTTTTTTCCAGAAGGAACTCCCCCTGGGGCGTCGTTCCAATGCCGCCGGCCACCCGGAAGGCCCCGCCGCTGCGCAACCAACGTCTCCAAGACGGCCCCAAGAGGCCTCCAAGTTCGCCCAAGATGGTCCAAGATGCCATCCAAGACAGCCTTAGAGGGTCCAAGATGGCCTCCAACACGGCCCTAGAGGGTCCCAGATGCCTCCAGGTCCGCCCAAGAAGCCACCCAGGCGGCCAAAGATGGCTCCAACAGACCCCCAAGAGGCCTCCAAGACGGCCCAAGTGGCCGTCAAAATTGCCTCCAGGATGGCCCGAAGAGGCCAAAATCATTGACTTCTTTGGGAGTTTCAAATATGCTGCATTTACTTTTTTTCGGCCGTCCGACAGCCCAAGACGGCCCAGGAGGCCCCCGCGATCGCCCCGAGATGGCCCCAAAGGCATCCAAGATAACCTCATGAGGGCCCAAGAAGCCTCCAAGACGCCACCAAGAGGCCTCCAAGTTCGCCCAGGATAGTCCAAAATGGTATCCAACACGGCCTGAGAGAGTTCCAAGACGGCCTCGAAGACGGCCCAAGAGGGTCCCAGGTGCCTCCAAGACAGCCCAAGAAGCCCTTAACAAGCCTCCAAGACGGCCCAAGAGGCCTCCATGAGGTAATTACTCAGGAGAGCCCGAAAAGGCCACCAGCATTGGTTTCCCTCAGTGTTTGAAGGATTGGGGCAATTACTTCTTGTCGGCCTTCCGACGGTCCAAGACGGCCCAAGAGCCCCCAAGACGGCCCAATAGGCCCCCAAGATCGCCCCAAGATGGCAGAAAAGGCCTCCAAGATGACCTCATGACGGCCCAAGAAGCCTCCAAGACGGCCCAAAGAGGGCCTCCAAGTTCACCCAAGATGATCCAAGATGGCCTCCAAGACGGCCCAAAAGGGCCCAAAATGGTTTCCAAAGACGGCCCATGAAAGTCCGATTGCCTCCAAGTTCGCCCAAGAAGCTTCAAAGACGGACGAAGAAGGCCCAAGAGGCCTCCCAGACAGCCCAACAGGCCTCCAGGAGGTCCTCCCAGGAAAGCCCGAAGAGGCCAAAATTGTTGATGTTGCCGGGGTGATTGAAGGATTTGTGCAGTTCTCGCCATCGCTCGGACGTCCATTCCCTGTGTTTTTTTGGTTTCGTGCGTGTTTTTTTCGCCAAATGATCAAGGATGCTCCTCGATGGTCCTCGCCGAAAGAAAAGTACACGTCCGAGCGATGCCAAGAGTTGCTTCTGTGTTGTCTTCCGACGGCCCGAGACGGCCCAAGAGCCCCCCCAAGATCGATCCCCAAAGCGCTCCAGAGGCCTCCAAGGATGGCCCCAGGACAGCCCAAGAGGCCCCAGAACGGCCCCAAGAGGACCCCACGACGGCCTAAGGGGCCTCCAAGACGCCCAAGCTGGCCTCCAAGACGGCCCTGGAGCACCCAAAGAGGGCACAAAGTCGGTTCCAAGAGGCCCCCAAGACGGCTTCCGACGGCGTCAGACGTGCCAGGCAACCCTAAAACGACCAAAGGGCCCACAATAAGCCCTCAAAGGCCCACAAGAGGCGCAAGGATGCCTCCAAGATGCCTCCAAGAGGCCCCCAAGAGTCTCCCAAGAGGCCCACAGAGGCTCCCAAGATGCCCCCTCCTCCTCCCCCTCCCTCGTCCTCCTCCTCCCTCCCCCTCCTCCCTCCTCCTCCTCCTCCTCCTCCTCCTCCTCCTCCTCCTCCTCCTCCACCTCCTGATCTTCCCCGCCGCCATCCCTCCCCCACGTGTTCCCTGAAGGATTTCCACAACGGCTGGGGGGCACCTGGTCCAATAGCTTGGCAGAGCTCTGGCCACAACGTTCGGCCACACGGGCGATTCCAAAAGGCAGGGGTAGGCGTCTTCGATAAGAAACAACTGCATGAACATGATTTCTCAGAGGTCTGCGCGGAGCGCGCCAGGAGCGGCGCCGGAGGCGCCGCCAAGGGGGCCCAGCGCCAATCCAAGAAATCCGCGCGGACCTCCGAGAAATCATGTTCATCATGTGTTAGGGTCACTCGAGCCTCCCCCTTCTCCGTTCCCATCAGAGCACAAACTGGGCTGCCGGCGATGCGCGTCTCTGCCCCCGTCTGCGTGGCGACCTGCGGCCGGGGCAAGACCGGATCCCCCGCCCGCCACCTCGCTGGCGCGAAAGGAAGCCCAGGCCACTACATAGAAGAAAACAAATTGCTGAAAACATAATATTTCGGGGCTCCGCGCGGACTTCTTGGATCGGCACTGGAACTCCTCCTGGGGGGCGCGGAACGCGTCAAGGACGGCGCTGGGGCGCGGCCGGGGGCGCCCCAGCGCAGATCCGAGCAGTCCTCGCGGACATCCTACAAGCAGTCCATGGCGCCGTGTCTGCATGATGCATCGGCCAGAGCAGTGCCGATCGCTGTAGGCGCGTGCCCACCATGGCACAGAGCAGGAACAGCTCAGGCTCGCATGTCCCAACGTCTGGCTGTAAAACAGGTTGACAGCTACAGGTAGAGCTGGGATGCAGGGGAGGAGGAAGAGGAGGAGGAGGAGGACGGCGACGACGACGAGTAGGAGAGGAGGGATAGATCCGCTCCAGCTCCTCCTCCTCCTCCTCCTCCTCTTCCTCCTCCTCTTTCTCCTCCTTCTCCTCCTCCTCCTCCTCCTCCTCATGCGCGCTCCCGCCCTCCTCCTCCACCCCCGCCTCCTCCCCCTCCTCCTCCTCCTCCTCATCCTCATGATCCTCATCATCTTAAGCAGCATCATCATCAGCATCATCGTCGCCAGCATCGTCATCCTCGTCATCACCATCATCGTCATCATCAACATCAGCATCAGCATCATCAACATCATCACCATCACCATCATCATCGTCATCTACATCATCAGCATCGTCATCATCATCAGCAACAGTACCATCAGCAGTATCATCATCATAAACATCATCAGCATCAACACCAGCATCAACATCATCATCATCATCATCATCATCATCAGCAGCATCATCATCACCATCAACAGAAGCATCAATCAGCATCAGCAACATCAGCATCAGCATCAGCATCAGCATCAGCATGAGCATCAGCAGCATCACCATCATCATCATCATCAGCATCAGCACCAGCACCAGCATCAGCATCAGCATCAGCATCAGCATCAGCATCAGCATCAGCATCAGCATCAGCATCAGCATCAGCATCATCATCATCATCATCATCATCCTCATCATCCTCATCCTCATCTCATCATCATCATCATCATCATCATCATCACATCATCATCATCACATCATCATCATCATCCATCATCATCATCACATCATCATCATCATCATCATCATCATCATCATCATCATCATCATCATCATCATCATCATCATCATCATCATCATCATCATCATCATCATCATCATCATCATCATCATCATCATCATCATCATCATCATCATCATCATCATCGTGCTCTCCTGTTCATCCTGCGCGATTCCGCTCCCCTCAGCGCTCTGCTCCTCCACGTCCTCTCTCTCTCTCCAACTCCTCCCCCTCATTGCCCTCTGCGTTGCGGCAGGAGGCCTGCCATGCCGACCCGGCCGAGACCGCCAACACACATGGGGAGCTCCAGACTCCGTCTTCAAAGACGGCCTTTTTCAGGGCCTACCCCGACCCATTTCCCCCAGCCCCTCCCGCGCAACCGCCCCCCTCCCCCCCCCCCGCCCCTCCCCGCCAGGGGGGCGGGGGGCAGGGCTGCGGAGAGAGGCGAGGCGGGGGGACGGGGGGCAGACGCTGGGGGCCAGGGGGGCGGAGACCACAAGGATGGGGGCCCGGGGAGACAGCAGCTGGAGAGGCACGACGAGTTTTTGTTGTCCTCCGATCGCTCCACGGCCACAAAAAGGCATCCGCTTTTCGGCTCTCCGGTTAGCAGTGTGATGCCCAATGAGCTGGAGAGGCACGACGAGTTGAACCAACATCCGCAGGAGGACCTCAGGACAAGACACCACGATCGGGAAGAGGAGCGCGCGTGGGAGCCGGAATAAAAACTAAAAACAAACGAGGGCAAGACGAGCGAGAGACACGGGTCCCGACAGGTCATCATGCACGACGGGTGGTTTTGGCTCACCACTCCAGTGCAGGACGAAGATGGCATGGGACGCTGTTGACCATCGCACCCAAGGCAGGACGATAACCTCTCTCTCACGCAGACACACACACACAAGCGCGTGCGAACTCCGATTAATACGAGAGCGACGTGTCATTCGCAACGCGTGGGCGTTCACACCAGGTGGCGTGGATACGGACCTGCTGACCAGCGGCGTCTCGGGTCCGAGTTGCCGTCGGGCCACGGTGGGACACGCGCGAAGCAAACTGCGGCACGGGCAAGGGAAAACGGAGAGGCAGGAGGACCAGGAGGAGACGACCGCGCGCCGCCGGGGGGGGGGCCTCAGAGCGTGAGGCTCCTCGGGGCTCGGCGCACGGCTGGTGGTGCACCCTATTGGTCGACACGTCCAGGCACGCGTGAGCCGCGCAGAGGGCAGTGGGGAGCGAGCACAGGGGTGCCCGCGAGCGGCCAGGGCGCGAACCAGGGAACAATGGAGCCATCAAGACCAGTGGCGTCGCGCGAAGGCAGCCCCAGGTGGCGAGCCCAGAGGGAGGGTACAGGCCAGGGGTGGCCTGCTTGGACTGCGAGCTCACACGCGAAGCGAACGCGGGGCGCACCGCACACATCCTATCATTATTGAAGGCACGCTCGAGTGCCAGCACGACAGGATTGCACCCGCTCTCTTTGGCGAGGGGGGAAGTTATCCACATCCACCAACTAGGGAACCGATGTAATGGAACCGCAGGGGGCGGTGGATATGGATATAGTTGGTCCCACAAGGAACCGCATATCTACATATATATATATATATACACGTACATACAAATCTGTTATAGTTACGGATAGATATATCGGAGGTTGAGGGGTGAGATCGCAGTGGAACGGAAACTCCCAACTGGGAATCGTTTCGTTTCGTTCGCGTCGTGCGTGCGGGCGAGGCGAAGCTGCGTGGGCGCACGAGAAGAATGAACCCGCCGTTGCCAAGGCGGAATCAAGACACATGATTCTCCTCTGTCCGGATGTGGCCCTCGGTATCCCGCGGTGTCCCGTGGTGTCCCGTGGTGTCCGCCGTTGCTAGGGCGAAGCCAAGGCAAATGATACTCCTCCGTCCGGCGGTGGCCCTCGGTGTCCCGCGGTGTCCCGCGGTGTGCCGTGGTGTCCCGTGGTGTCCGCCGCTGCTAGGGCGAAATCAAGACAAATGATTATCCTCCGTCCGAATGTGTGACCCTCGATGGCCCTCGGTGTCCCATGGTATCCCGTGGTGTCCGCCGTTGCTAGGGCGAAGTCAAGACAAATGATTCTCCCCCATCCAACGGTGGCTCGCGGTGTCCCACGGTGTCCCGCGGTGTCCCGTGGTGTCCCTTGGCGTCCCGTTGAGTGAGATCGATAGTGAGATCGATGGTGAGATCGATGAGATCGATAGTGAGATCGACAGTGAGATCGATGAGATCGATAGTGAGATCGATAGTGAGATCGATAATGAGATCGATGTGGTTCCTCGAAGTGTCCCGTGGTGTCCCGTGGTGTCCCGTGGTGTCCCGTTGAGTGAGTGAGATAGTGAGATCGATAGTGAGATCGATAGTGAGATCGATAGTGAGATCGATGAGATCGATAGTGAAGTCGATAATGAGATCGATAGTGAGATCGATACTGAGATCGATGTGGTGCCCCGATAGGTCTCGTGGTGTCCCGTGATGTCCCAAAAAGTGAGATCGATAATGAGATCGATAGTGAGATCGACAGAAGTCCCGTGGTGTCCCGTGGTAACCCGTTGAATGAGATCGATAGTGAGATCGATAGTGAGATCGAGAGGTGTCCCACGGTGTCCCGAGGTGTCCCGTGGTGGCCCGTGGTGTCCCATTGAGTGAGATCGATAATGAGATCGACAAGTACTATGAATGAATCTCCGCCTCGGATCACTGGTGCATAAACTCATACAACGCGTGGACAAGGGAAATCTGCGCCTCAATTGTTCTATATTCAGACGTCCGTGCACTTCCAGCGCGGCTACTTGGGTGTGAATGTCCAATGGGTTGGTCATGAGAATTGCTTCCCTGTTCCAACTGCTTCCCTGTTCCGGTTGGCAGCCAGACTCAGAAGATGAGATGCGCCAGGGAGGGAACGACATCCAGCCACCCCAGCGAGCAAGTACGGATGAAAGTACGAGCTCTGCCTAACTCATGTCTGGCCATATCACTGCCAGACACGTACATTGACCGCCGATCAAAGACCATGATCCGCAAAAATCCATCCCGCTACATCCTCTGGTCAAAACTATATTCTGCACTCTCCGCAACATGTGTCCGCGTCCGACGCCCAAATCCTTCCGCGCAGATCGTAATGCCAGTAAAGGATGATGGCGATAGTCGTCCGAAATGAACGCGGCGTTGGACGCGGAGACCATTTCGCACGGGATGGCGGGCGCATTGGGTGAACGCACATAGGATTCAATCAGGGTGAGCGCATCGACATGCGTAAGTTCGCATACTGGAAGTGCTCACGAGCTTGCCGCGATGCAACCTCCGTATACACATACGGACGCCAAATGACGTCGGTGTTGTATGCATCAGGCGCGTGGTAACACTGACTACAGATAAGTGGATCTGTCACGTGGGCGCGGGTGAGGCCGGCGCTGCCCGATGTTGGCGGGCCGATGTCCTCTTGGAGACGAGGCACGCCGAAGATCCGCGCGAGCTCCTCCAGCAGGGCTCGGGGCATCGGATCCCCCAGAGCAGCCCGCCCTTCGCCATGGGCGATAATAATTATAATACGCCGTGTGTCCAACTGGCACATGAGCAATTAGGGCATGGCAGCGAACGTCGGGTGCTGGGCTGAGCACCTCGCGTGCCAAAAGGCCCCCTGATTCATAGCACTACGGCCGGCGGAGGAGGAGGAGGAGGAGGAGGAGGAGAGGAGGAGGAGGAGGAGGAGGAGGAGGAGGAGGAGGAGGAGGAGGAGGAGGAGGAGGAGAGGGGGGAGGAAAATCGACCAACGGTATATTCCGCACTGACCTCCGCCTGACCTCCCGCCGCGGCTCTTCCCCCCTCGCCCGCGGGGCAGGGGGGAGGGGGGGCGGCCGACTGCCTGGCGCGGCGGCCGCCGCGGACCAGTCGCGGGGAGAGGAGGGGCGAGCCGCAGATGGAGACCCTTGTCAGGCGTAGCCTTAGTGGGCCCTGGAAACGACAGGGCCGTTTTTGTTACCAGTTCCGTTTTGCCGTTTTTTTGCCGATTCCGACGCCGTTTTCTTACCGGTTCCGTCGCCGTTTTTTGACCGGTTCCAGCTCCGGTTCCAATCCTGGAGCCGATTTTTTGCCGTTTCGGGTCGCCGTGTTTTTGCCGTTTCCATTTCCAAAGGACATTTTTCTGGAAACGGTGAATAAAACGGCCCTGCCGTTTCCGGGGCCCACAAAGGGCGTGGCCGCCGACAGCAAGGTCGAGGCTCCCTGCGGTGGCCAGCTTCAACCTTTTCTGGGGGGCCCTTGGGGCTCCCTGGGCGCCCCGACAAGGACGCCCTCGTGGAGCGTCGCGGATCCGCCGCCTCCCTCCCGGCGCACCTTGCGGGCACGTGGCATGTGCAAAAAAAAAGCCCTCGCGAGGCCGGCCTCTGATCTGACGCTTCCCGGGGGGCCAGCTCGGAGCTGTCTTAGGGCTATCCTGGAGTGCCCTGGAAGTCCGTGGGCCCCTCGGTGGGTCCTTCTGTGCCCTCTTGGGCCGTCTTCCGACCATCGTAAGGTAGATGAGCAGGGGGAGAAGGACGAGGACCACGACGAGAAGGGAGTGGTGGACTAAGAGAAAGTGGAGAAAGACGACGACAACGAAGGCGAGGTGGAGAGAGAAGGGGGGGAACAGTAGGAAACCAATGGCGAGAAGGCGGAGGACGAGGAGAACGATGTTGGGAAGGAGGCTGCGAGGGCTGGGAGGGCGAGGGAGGCGGGGAATGGAGAGGGAGGACAGAGGGGGAGGGGGGGAGTGGAGGAGAGGGAACGAACTGGGCGGGGGATGCAGGGGAGAGAGCAGGGGGGAAGTGAAGGGGAAGGGCGAAGAAGAGGGCGAGGGGAGAAGGGGGGGCGGAAGGCGCAGTTGGGGTTGCGGAGGGCACGCGGGACTGGAAGGGCACATGGGATTAAGAGAATCGGGCTGGTGGTAATGGAGGAGGGGCCTACAGGGTGGTGAAGAGAAGGGTACCCACTTCTTAGGTCACCCACATTACCACCCGGCCGAGGGAAATCAGACTGCAGTGAGACGGCGGTCCTGGATGAACTGGTCGCACTGCACCGAGAGGCACTCGGAGCCGTTCCCGGCTTGCTCCACCTCCAGAGAGGAGTCAGGATACCCGAGAGCCCGACCGATGCGTGGAAGTCAGCCTCCCGAATTGAGGTGCGTTTCCCTTCCGAGCCAGAGGCTGAAAAATCCAATTGAAACCTAGCCTCAAGAACGGTTCGGGTGACATGCAGTCTCGGAACGCTCAGACTTCATAGCGGGTGAAACGGCTGGTGGAAATGAGGTGCGCCCGAGGTTTGTTGCGAACGACAGAAGTGGAAGGAGAGTGAGATGCGAAAGGATGTTTAACACGGTCAGACGATCACTCTGGCAGGACCAGGCGCCCACGAGGTGATGTCGTGACACCGCTGGGAGAAAATCCATCGCATTCGTCCTCGCCCTCGCCCTTCTCCTCCTCCTCCTCCTCTTCTTCCTCCTTCTCCTGCTCCTCGGCTCCTCGCCCCCCCCTCCCCATCCTTTTTGCCCATCCTCATCCCAGCTAATTGCGCGCAAGAGTGGCCCTAGGCAAGAGTGAGTTCGGTACGCGGCCTGCCCATCCTCGCATGCGACGCGACGCTACCGGCCTGCGTGCTTCGGGTTCGGCGACCCAACACCCCCGAAGCCGCGCACCAAAGGTCACTCCGGTAAGGGTCACCCTTGCGTGTAGCCGATCATCCTCCAGGGGCTGCATTTGCTACTGCCCCTAAGCTCGCAGGGGCACGGCGACGTGAAGCTCGAGATGCCCGGGGTGGACTCCGCGGTGAGAGCTCGCCGCGGCCTCAAGCAGCGCCATCAAATCTGGGTGTACGAGAAGGCCCGACCGCCTCCGTGACCGACATGCACGCATACGGATATCGCGGGTCATGTTGCTCCAACGGAACAACGCGTTCCTGAGTGGGATCGACTCCAACCCCGCTCCGGCGTCCTTCAAGAAGCCAGATTGAACATCAGGACCATCAGGACACGTGACCCCAGCGCTGGCCGACCCATCTTCGTCAACTGGGCGGCGACGTGCGTACACTCCACCTATACGCCCCACGCAGGCACGCCCGAGCTGGGCGAGATGGGCTCGCAGCAGCCCAGATGGTCGACGGCAGACGCGACCGGTAACCCCCTCGGGAGGGACTAGACCTCGTCCCGATGGTCCTTGAGACCGGGGGGGCGGCCATCCGACGAAGTAGTGAGCTTCGTTCGGAGCCACGGCGCCTCCCTTGAGGACGCCGACCTGTCCGAACTCCTGAGCCAGATCTGGCGGGAGATCTCACGCACCCTGCGACAAGAGAACACGGAGATGATCCTGAGCGCCGTGGGGAGGGAAGCGCTGACCGCCCCCACGCCACAGCCACCCACTAACACGACCACCACCGGCACGATCACCACGAACACCACCAGGCCGACCTCCAGTACGACCACCGCTAGCACCCCAGCACGCCCAGCACGACCACCACCAACACGCCCGACTATCAGCACGGCACCCACCAGTCCGACCACCACTACGACCACTACTACGATCACCACCACCACCACCATCCCTACGACCAGCCGCGGGCCCCTACGGTCACCACCGCCCCCCGATCCCCTCCTCTACTCCCTCCCTTCCCGTTTCCTGCCGGGCCGCTGGGTTCGCGACTGCCGCTGCCGCGGCGCTCGTTTCGCTGCTGCCCCCTCCTCCTTGCTGTTAGTCGCAGTAACACCTCACACTCAGAGGCGGAGGGCCACGGGGCCAATCCTCCAAGAGTCTGTGTCCGGTAGGTGGCGGTTTTCGTTGCTATAGGGGCCCGGGGCCAGAACCCCAACGCCCCAGGGTCTCCCTTGGTGACGGGGGTGGGAACCCACTCGGGTGCCCCAAGCCTTTTTGAGATGGGAGGATGGAGAAGGAAGGGAAAACGGGGGACGGAGGAGAAAGAAGGACAAGGAGGGCGGAGGGGAGGGGAAGACAGGAGGGAGGTGAAGGAGGAAGGAGGAGGGAGGCGGGAGGAGGGAGGGAGGAGGGAGGAGGAGGGAGGAGGGAGGAGGGAGGAGGAGGGAGGAGGAGGATGAGGGAGGCGGAGGGAGGAGGGAGGAGGGAGGAGAAAGAAGGGAGGAGGGAGGGGAGGAGGGAGGAGGGAGGAGGGAGGAGGGAGGGAGGAGAGAGGGGAAGGAGATGATGATGAGGAGAGGAGGAGGAGGAGGAGAAGGAGGAGGAGGAGGAGGAGGGGAGGGAGAAAGGAGGGATTAGGGAGGAGGAGAAAGGAAATTGGGAGGAGGGGGAAAGCGAAAGAGGAGGAGGAGGAGGAGGAGGAGGGGAGAGAGGAGGGGAGAGGACAAGCTAGGTGCGCTCGCGTCATATCTGACGTCCTACCCCTCCCTCCCATCCCTTACCATGGCGCTGATTTTCTCTATCCGCGGACGCGTGTCGTAGCGGACCTGTGGCTCCGCGCGCGCGTGCGTAGTGGGTGGTGGTGCACGTGCGTGCGTGCGTGCGTGTGTGCGTGGTTGTGGTGGTGGTGGTGGTGGTGGTGGTGGTGGTGGTGGTGGTGGTGGTGGTGGTGGTGGTGGTGGTGGTGGTGGTGGTGGTGGTGGTGGTGGTGGTGGTGGTGGTGGTGGTGGTGGTGGTGGTGGTGGTGGTGGTGGTGGTGGTGGTGGTGGTGGTGGTGATGGTGGTGGTGGTGGTGTGGTGCTGTGGTGGTGGTGGGCTGTGTTGGTGGTGGGGAGGTGGTGGTGCTGGTGGTGGTGGTGGTGGTGGTGGTGGGTGGTGGTGGTGGTGGTGGTGGTGGTGGTGGTGGTGGTGGTGGTGGTGGTGGTGGTGGTGGTGGTGGTGGTGGTGGTGGTGGCGGTGCGGCGCGGTGGTGGCGGGCGGATGGGCGCGCGAGAAAAGGCCCGCGCTGGGGCGAGAACGCCATCCTGAACGACGGAGGCCAAACACCGATCCGAAAATGAGGCCCACGCTGCAGCGGGAGCACGATTCGGAACGATTCGGGAGCAGAAATGAGGCCGGCGCCTCAACGAGAGCAGCATTTTAGGAAAAAATGACGCCGGCGCCTCAGCGAGAGTCGTTTCCCGGGATTTCCCGGGCATCCTGTGTGTAAAAAAACAATACGCGGAGGGTGCGCGGCCATCACCCGGACGCCATCAGGGGAAGAGGGAGAGTATTTTCATATTGAATAATTGTGGAGGAGGAGGAGGAG